GTGTCCCTTCGTCCAGCATACTCACCATGGAATCCTGATATTTCATGAATGTCAAAAAACTGTTCTGAAATAGTGCTAAATAGTGCCCAAAGGAAAAAAATAGTGCTCTTGTACTTGCGAAGTTATAGCCATAGTTCGATGAGTATGCTGGACGAAGGTTTCGCCCAGCATACTCACCTCCGTCCGGAGAATCTGTATACGCTTCAAACATAATTCATACTTCAAAAAATAGTTCCCAAATAGTGCCAAACGGTGCCCAAAAAGAAAAAACAGTGCTCGAATAACTTCGGAGTTATAGGCTTCGTTCAGTGAGTATGCTGGGCGTAGGTTCTACGCCCAGCATACTCACCTCAGTGCGCGAATATCGAACGAGCTATAGGTACAATTTACGTCTCAAAAAATTGTGCTTGAAATAGTGCCCAATATCAGTCCAATTTTTGCTTGACTTTTGACCTAGAAAACCATTAAATTTGATTGTAAACTTCTACATACATTACATTGAGTACAGTCGAATACAATATTATTAACTTTCTTTCTAACAATTTTTGTCTTGTGTAAATTATTAATTGTCTATGTAAGGGAGTATTTACTTTAGAATCGCAATATTATTAATTACACATTATTTTAATAATACGGTAAACTATAGGGTATTTAATATTAATAAAAAAAACGTGATTATAAACTGTGATTGCTCAATTTATACTTATTTGTAAGATAATTTTATTGTGATTAAAACGTTGTAGCAGTAAAACAAAGTACAAGTACCTACGTGTTATATTTTAGAAAGTTTTACCAATATTTGGCTAAACATTTTTTTATATGTATATTATATACAATATTAAAACTACAATTTTTTCTATTTACATTGATTATATTATGAATGTTAACAAAAGCTGTGAACTAGTTAACTAGAATTCTGATTACTTTGGCCCTTTAAATAGTAATAAATAACGTAAGTAATTAAAAATGTTTTTTATTGCTAAACCTTTCATTGATGAAACTATTGGAAAGAGTTTTAAAAATTTGTATAACTATGTCACAGTACTAGTTTTGACTGGTTATAAGTTTTGCCTGCAACATATATACAAAAAGAAACTGTATAATTTCCTTTTTACAATTTTTCAAGATATTAATTTTATTGGCTGCAAATGACTGTTTTTATTCAGACAAACACACAATGCAATGAAGTAATAGACTTCATTTACGCTTAAAGTTTCATTCATTTATTATTATTTATAAAATATATAATAATGCATTTAATCGAAAGTTTTTGACATGTGAGAAAATACCATAATTATTTCCAATAACATGAAGTCTACAATTAGAAAGTTTAATATTTTTGTCCAAAAACATGTGTCGACGACTGTACCCCATTTTACGTTAGTATGTAGAAGTTTACATTAAAATTTAATGGTTTTCTAAGTCAAAAGTCAAGCAAAAATTGGACTGATATTGGGCACTATTTCAAGCACAATTTTTTGAGACGTAAATTGTACCTATAGCTCGTTCGATATTCGCGCACTGAGGTGAGTATGCTGGGCGTAGAACCTACGCCCAGCATACTCACTGAACGAAGCCTATAACTCCGAAGTTATTCGAGCACTGTTTTTTCTTTTTGGGCACCGTTTGGCACTATTTGGGAACTATTTTTTGAAGTATGAATTATGTTTGAAGCGTATACAGATTCTCCGGACGGAGGTGAGTATGCTGGGCGAAACCTTCGTCCAGCATACTCATCGAACTATGGCTATAACTTCGCAAGTACAAGAGCACTATTTTTTTCCTTTGGGCACTATTTAGCACTATTTCAGAACAGTTTTTTGACATTCATGAAATATCAGGATTCCATGGTGAGTATGCTGGACGAAGGGACACCATAATGGCTGACATAACTTGTTAAGAAGAGTTGAAATTAGTATTCAGTTTATAGAGGTTAATGTCCAGCTGTGGACTGAAGGGGCTGATGGTGATTTATCAATATTTATTTAAGCTGTTTATATAAAAAAAGTATTTACTCTTTATGCAAATGCATTACGCGAAGGTTAATTTAATATTACCAAAAGATATTAGGTACCTATCAACCTTTATGTGACGCAAAGACGAAAAATTACAGCAATTAGGTAGTAGCAGTTTAGGGAAAAAATATATTAAGTACGACTTATGTCCTTTTATTTTTGGACCTTTTAAACTCATGTTTGGTGAACCTGGTTCATTATACGAAGGACCATAAAACTGACATCTGCGTTCATCAATAACGCGTCACTGAGTACCAACATGAGTGTCTTCTATATAAGAGGGGCTTGCCATAATCTTCACGCTTCTTAGCAACCAAGATGGAGATCCCAGTTCAAAAATGTTTAGGTTTATCAGAAGGCGCTGCCGCCAATATCGCCATCAAATCTGTACAGGTAACATCTCTTTATATACGAATAACAATAGATGTACTTCCTTTTCTAGGGAATTCTCCGTCCTGCCAGGCAAGTCATGTGAGGGGTACGACATCATCTACCATCGGCTGCACGACACGGAACCTTCGAAGTACAACCTGGAGGCTGGCTGCAAACTGCTCTTCATGACTGTGGGTAAGTCATATCAATCAGTCAGTTAGTTGGTAGCGTGGAACACTGGTGCTACAATGTGACATCCATAAGCTACGGGTCTTTCTAGAAGGTGATTTGTAAGCTGATTTTCTACTGCAGTGCCATGATGTAATGCGATATTGAACATTAATTATGCTTGACAATATTTCCATAGTCAGTTTACGTACGCAGGACATTAATGTTACCCATAAAATATCCACAAGAAGCGTCTGTACCTAGATATCTATTCCACTTACCTAAATGATATTCACAGTTCAGCGAAATTTGAGATGTAGTGAAATCTAACCGCTAGAAGCCTTATTGAATTAATATCAAGAATCCATAGCAAGCTCCAACCGAGCTAGACGTGTAATTAGGCCTAAATTCTCTCCTTACGCATCAGGAGACCTTTTAAGAGGGATATTAAATTGGTCTATAAAGGCAGTTACCAACACGTTAAGCTAGCCTTAGTGTAAATTGCTGTTAAAGTCGTAAAATGTCTTGCAGATGTAGGTTAGTTCATAAAATATGTTTTATGGTGACGTACAAGGACTAGTAGAGAGGAGGAGACTACATGGTTGACGCAGTGGCTGGACAACTGGCTGCCGGGCCGCGCAACGAGTCGCGGATTCGATTCCCGCACGGAACAACTTTTTATGTGATCCACAGATTGTTGTTCTGGATCTGGATGTCATGTATATGTGAATTTGTATGTTTGTAAACGCACCCACGACACAGGAGAAAATCCTAGTGAAGGACAACGTTTTTTTTTTTTATAAAAAAGGAGTAGGATGTCTAAATATTATGTAATGTGGATATGTGTTGTGTTCATACTTAGCCTGCATCGTCAGTGGAGTATCTCATTCTTAAGAGCTTCAATTTAGACAGTATTTTTGTACGAAGTTAATGTAGAAAGATAGTACGAATATATTGGACATTGGCTTCATAAAATCCAAGGACGAATTCCAAGAGATATATCTCTTACTCCTTGTTAAAACTTAAGAATTTATCTGTTATTCATTATTTGTATCAAAGGTTCGTATTCAAGAGTTTTGGTAACAATTCGACTTTTGATTCGAATACAGTGCGTTCACTGTCATGAAATAATTATAATTTATTGATGCACATTTTTGTCATTCATTAAGAAACTTATCATAATTGAGATAGCATATTTTGGGCTAAATTAATGTCTGACTGGCTTTATTGTTTTTACCATGACTGCAGGGCATAATTCCTGGATCTATTCTTTCAAAGTCAAAATCATTTATTTCAATTAGACCAGGAAGGCACTTTTGAACGTCAGCAATAGAAATTTAACAGTGAAGCTATTTGCTCATTCCAAGGTGTAGATTCCTATGGAGAAGTTCACAATACAATTCTTCAATTACACAGTTTACTTGAGTAAATCGTTCTTCTTTTAAGTGTGGGAGACCCATGCTTCGGCACGAATGGGTCGGCTCGACCGGAGTGATACTACGGCCTCACAAAAAACCGACGTGAAGAAACGCTTGCGTTGTGTTTCGTCATGTGAATGAGGTTACCGGAGGTTACCAATTACGCCCCCCCATTCCCCAATTCCCGAATCTCTGGTGTTCCAGGTGTCCATGGGCGATGCCGATTGCTTACCATCAGGTGATCCATATGCTCGTTTACCGGCTTATGCCATAAAAAAATTAATAATAATAATACTACGTTCTGGATTGCATGTAAAACCGCGGGCAGAAGATAGTACAATCAAATAGTTGTATAGCCTTGTATTACAATTACGACATTTCATTTTTATTTCATTTCGCAACGTGTCGCTTAATTATTTATTGAGCCATTAACATTGATCTTCGAATGAGTCAGTGTCTGTATGGCCAGGGAGGTCGAGGTTACGTGGTTAAGTACCCGTTGAAGAATGTTTGTTTAGTCTAAATAGAAGTGAGCAAACTGGCCATTGTGGTGTGGTGTGGTCGTGCTGGCCCGGAGGTTTAAGACGCCCGCTTATCAAGCATGAGGGCGCAGGTTCGAAATCTACCAATGGCAAGTACCAATGTTATATTTTCCGAGTTATATGTACTTTTTAAGATTATTTAGACACCACTGACAAACGGTGAAGGAAAACATCGTGAGGAAACCTGAGCTTATTTTTATTAATTTCTAATTATTATTGAAATCGCCAACCTGCATTGAGCAAGCGTGGTGATTAATGCTCAAACCTTCTCCGTGTGAGGTCCTTTGGTCGGCAGTGGCCACTTATAGGCTCTTGATGTGATGTGATGTGAAACTGGCTATTAAATAATGCCTGTATGGGGATGGCAGAGTACATTTTTGACCTCTCCTACTCTTCCCGGTGTAGTATGAGCTGAGTGATAGGGACGTTACATTTGACAATGACCACTTTCAGCCGGAACTTTTTAAACTGAGATATCCAACCCGCCTGTTATGCATACAGAGTATGTCAAATGCTTACAGATTATGGCAAACCCTCTTATGTAGAGGAAACGTTAAAATAGTTCCTAGTTCGTCCAATATCACAGAATACAGAAATCTAAATAATAAAGTATATGTTTGATTTAACATAACATAACATCACGCCTTTTATCCCCGAAGGGGTAGGCAGAGGTGTACATTATACTGTATACCGCTGTACAATGTAACACCCACTTTTCACTATTTATGTTATGAGTCCCATGTAATAGGGGGTGAGCCTATTGCCATATACCGGGCACAATTCCAGACTCCGTGCTACTACTGAGAATATTTTAAAACTCAGTAATACTTTGCCCGACCCGGGAATCGAACCCGAGACGCCTTGCCCGGCAGTCGCACTTACGACCACTCGGCCAATGAGGCAATATTTAATTTCTGTGTTCAATATTGTAAAACCGAAAGCAACTTTTGTGTATATTTCACGGTCAAACTGCTGCACTGAATATGATGAAATTCAATTATGAGAGATTGTTTGAAATCCTTGGAAGAGCACAATTTCCGTAATCTTTATGCATGTGTCGTTCAAAAATCTCATTCCATTCATACACATTATCTATAAGTATAATTTATATATTTAAAAATAGAATAAAATATTATAAATAAACAAAAAAAAACTAATAAAGTCTATTGAAATCTTTAATTATACACATAAAACTGTTTTTTGGATTTAATGACCCAAAAACAATTAATAGTAGAAGGTCAAGGTGCATCCATTATAATATAATTAGACGAACTTAAGCTTTGTTTTAAGTTTTTACGCATAAACCGCGGTAATTATTAAGAAAACCGGTTCAATAAAACCTTCTTTTTTATATTTATAAGCACTTAAAATCCTAGAAACGTGCGCGTGTGTAATACAAACGGTATAGTTAATATTTAATTAGCAAATATTTTTTCTAATAATTCAAATATAAAAAAAATGTTCACTGCACTTCATGGACGATTTTATAAGACCGGGTATGCCCCGTAAAAACCTTCAATTTTGTATAAGTAAATATTTTGAGTTCGGCCACAAAATATTCCATTTACCAATTTGATTGAATACTGCCAAATTTTGACTGCACGGTTGGTGCAGTGGCTGGGCAACTGGCTGCCGTGCAACTTGTCGCGGGTTCGAATCCCGCTCGGACCGGCACGGAACAACATTTTGTGTGATCTACATGTTGTTTCGGGTCTGAGTGTCATTGTGTATGTGAACTTGTATGTTTGTAAACGCACCCACGACACAGGAGAAAATCCTAATGTGGGGCAAAGGTTTTTATTAAAAAAAGTCTGTTTTTTCATTCTTCAGTTAACGAATGTGGCTTTGCCGTTCGGTGACAGCAAATTTAAAAAAAGAACGTTGCTCCGTATTTTTTATGGTTTCGTGGAAACGTTTAATTAGGATAGATAGGTACTTAACATAGGTACTTGTCGCCACCATTAGGTACTACTTTTCCCAAGGGCATCTAAATGATGTCTACAACTAAAAACTTGTTACTAAGAGTAGTATTAAAATTGCGTGGAAGTTTTGGAGACCCCTCTTTTTTAAAGGAGTTAGTACTTAGTCCAGTAATGGACTGTTACAGATTGTAGATTGACTGCAAATTACTAAAAGTACATACGTAACTTGCTGCCTTTTGACTGTAAAAATTAGTGTTAAGTAAACAACTATTACACCGTAAAATTAATTACAATTAATATTGTACGCACGTCATATATGAGTATCTGATTGTGCGTTTTTTTTTCGTAAAGAACAAAACACGCTGTAAAAAGTATCAAACAAGAAAATTTTTGCAGAGGATAACCGTGGTTATTTGTCATTATTATGTGCTGTGGCATGAGACCACAGAGAAAAAAAAATCGTCTAAGAAAATTATCCTGTGTGTTACTTTTTCCCCGACTACGGCGAAGCCAAAAGGAGGGATAATTATAGCTGTTTTTTTTTCATAGCCTGGTTTTAGTTTGATAAATTATTTTTTATGTAGCCAGCGGACCAATGAGACGCTTTTAGTGATACCCCATTTATCAAATTATGACCAGTAGTTTAGGAGTTAGGATAGAATAGATGAGCATACATAATACACATACCTATATAACCATCCTTTTGGTTTCGCCGTAGTCGGGTAAAAATGAAAAAAAACAACGAGTATACTAATCGATTTTTTATCTCATGTACAGGAAAAATGAATGAAAAACAGATTATTAAAGATAACAATCAAGTTTAAGAATGTTTTTTTATTGGATTTTTAAATACTGGTTGAGCTTGAGTACATTTTAAAAAAAATAATATTTTTTTCTATAACTACCCGATTTTTTTCTATCGCAATGATATTAGGCACAGGTGTTATTAAGAAAATAATGTTGAGGCTATTGTTTGATTAAAATGCAAGAATAGAATAATAAAAATTATGCAAATGACACAGCTGGACGAAACATACAAAAAAACTTGCAGCAAAAACGTTAGGATTTAATGAAAACAAAATATTTTAACGGTATAATGACAGTGCAATCGTTAAATGACTTCTACAACAATAATGGGTAGGTAC